TTATCTGATAAGAGAAGAAGCAACTCAGGACCTTCCCGTAGAGACAGCGGGGTTCTGTAGTCTTCATGGAGATCCTCTTACTTTCTTCTGCGCTGAAGATCAAGAGCTAGTTTGTGGAAAATGCAGAAATTCACTGCATAAGAACCACCGCATCCGTTCAACAAAAGACGCATCACAGGACATCAGGGTAAGAGCTCAAAGTGTCCGATTGTCTGGACTCTGGAAATAGGCTATTTGCTGTCCGAAACGCTTTTTTTAAACAATTAATTTGACTTTAACACCATTGAATCAGGTTTCTCGTACAAATGTGATAGTTTCGTGTTAAATTGACTTGAAACAGAACTCTTTTAGGCTACTTGACTTTTATTTGTTTTATTTTATTTATTTTAATTTTTAAATAACACGTTTCAATCATAGACCGTATAAGAGAAGTTTCAATCAAGTACATCAACTTTCATTTCCCATCATGCTTTGCAAAGGGGCTGAATTGGGAGTGTAAATGTTGAAATAAAGCAAGATGAGAAAAAAGTTTCTGTTATGTGGTTTTGGGCGTTACCATTGTGGTGAAGTGTTGAGCTTGTGTTTGGTTTGATGACCTGTTAACGACCATTCAATTGACTTTAATAAGTATGCAATGGCTGTGGATGAAACCATAGGGATGAAACCAGTATCACTCCTTGACTGTCATAGCTGAATATCACATGTGTAAACAGAAGTTATATTTTGTTTGTTGTTATTTATAACATGGGACTAAACAAGACCTGTTAAATTGGATTTATTTGAATAATTCAATTTAAATGAAAATCATTTGTTTAAGTTAACCTAAAACCATTCATTCAAGGTAAGTGAACACCATTGATACTAGTTAGTTGTACTCAATCAAGTGAAATCACTCTCCATGATTATATCATGTTCTTTTGAGCTATTTTGCTGTAGTGCTTGGTCAAAATGTCCAGCTTGTGGTCAGATTGCACTGATTGCTGGTGTCAGATTTAATGGATTGAAAAGGGTTGAAAAATGAAAGCTGTCTTGTCAAACAGGTCTTAGCATACTAATGGCCCTTATATGACACACATTCACACACCAAAAGGCAAAGGTTCGTGGGAACTTTGCTGATAAAGTCAAATATAAGCTTGATAGACCTGATCTATTTTGGATATGTGGGTTTTTAACAAACAACCTGTTTAACAATTGTAAAAATGCTGGGAATATCATCATTTAACAGATTAACACAGGATGACACGTACATCTGAGCATCATAGGCTGAAACGATGACATCACTGTTTTCGCAAGAATGGCTATAAATGAATTAACTTAATAACTTCTTTTACAATAAAAATGAACCATCACTGAACTTACTTAAGCTGGACTATGTACAGCCGATACAAACTTTGCTGCATTATTTTCCTGCATGCTATCACTCTAAAGCTGCTTTGAAACAATCTGTATTGTAAAAAGCGCTTTATAAATAAAGGTTATTTGACTTGATTTGAAATGAGCACAACAATGCAACTATATATATATTCAAATGTTTTTTCAGAAATTGATAAAGCTGAAATCAAATTTCAATTTCATTTAATTTCTAGAATGAGCTCCAGCAGAAACTAAAGGTTTTTCTGGAGAAACTTAGAGTGTATGAACGATTTAAACAGTCCTGGGATGAAACAGCGGAGTACATTAAGGTGAGTATCGGGAGGAAATTCTAACATTTACACAGTACTCTATGGGTGTTTATTGTATCAAGCTGATTGTGCTGATATTTTGTGCCTATAGAGGCAGAGCCAGCACACAGAGACTCAAATTAAGGACGCGTTTGAAAAGCTTCGCCAGTTTCTAGAAAATGAAGAAGCTGCTAGCCTGACGGCACTGAGGAGAGAAGAAGAGCAGAAGAGTGAGATCATTAAAAAGAAGATCGAGGAGATTACATCAGGGATATTATCTCTCTCACATATTATTGAGTCTATCGAGGAACAACTGAGAAGGAATGACATCACATTTCTAGTGGTAAGGAGCACTTGGTTTGACTTGTTCCATGCTTTTATAAGGTTTTTTTTCCCACATTATATTACATTAAGTTGAAATTAAAAAAGTAATTTGAAAGAAATTACTACTATGCAAGGATTGATAAAAAGGAAAGACATATATGTTACAAAATATCTCTATTTCCAAAAAATTCTGTTCTTTTGAACTTTCTGTTTATCAAATAAATAACCCTGAAGAAAAATGTATCACGGTTTCCTCAAAAATATTAAGCAGCAACTATTTTCAACATTGATAATAATAATAAATGTTTCTTGAGTAGCAAACCAACATATTAGATTGATTTCTGAAAGATCATGTGACACTGAAAACTGTAGCTGTATTTGATCAAATGAGTGCAGCCTTCTTTCAAAGATCTGACCGTACACAAATTAATGGTAGTGTACATTTTCTCATCATATAACATAAATTAATCTTTCTGTCTCTATCTACATTTCTTTATTCCTAGAACTACAAGACTGCAATTGAAAGGTAAGAACATGTCTTTTCTTAACCTTTATGGTTCTCAGCCCACATCAGTACTGACTCCAAAATGTTTTTTCAGAACAAAGTGTAATCTGCGGGATCAAACCAGACCTTCAGGAATGCTCATCGATGTTGCCAAACATGTGGGTAACATAACCTATGTAGTGTCAAAAAAGCTACAAGCCAACATTCGTTACGGTAAGTACTAAGTTGTAAAAATCTTCTCATCTGTTCTATTATTGTGCCTTAAAAGTGGGTGAACATCTTTATCTCTATCCCTCCAGCCCCAGTAACCCTTGACCCCAACACCGCCCATCCTTATCTGACCGTGTCGGATGATCTGACTACTATAACTTACAATGATGAGCACTTCCCACAGCTTCCAGCAAACCCGGAGAGATTTGACGGCTACACGAGCATTCTTGGTTCTGTGGGCTTTGACTCAGGGTCTCACTGCTGGGACATCGAGGTGGGCGACAGCACTGCCTGGGCCGTGGGAGTGATCACAGAGTCCGCATACAAACTCAGACAGAACCCCTCCAAGACAGGCTTGTGGTATGTGGGCTTCTGCAATGGTAAATACGGGAAGGGCTATTCTCCAGAGATACTGACCCTTCTACGGGTGAGCAAGATCATTCAGAGGATCAGGGTGCAGCTCGACTGGGACAAGGGAAAAGTCATTTTCACAGACGCAGGCCACAATATTGGTTTGCATGTGTTTAAACACGCATTCACTGAGAAAGTATTCCCTTACTTTTATAATCACTGTATGCAACATCCGTTGCGGATCATACCAGTAAAGACAACTGTGGAAGCACACATTTAGAGCCAATACAACTTAAGTTGATAGGTTTACTGTGATATCAGTCCAATTAATCCAAAGGAGACAGTAGCATTGCAATAAAACATTATGACATGTCTGAAATATTCAAGCCTTCTACAAAAACACTATTTTAACCAGAATCATTGTTGTTGTTTTTAGAGTAATGCATGCTTACAAGTAGATTTACATGCAAAGGACCTATTATGCCTTTTTACAATGGCTTGATTTTTGTTTTTAGGGTACACTAGAATAGATTTTCATGCTTGAATGTACAAAAAAAACCCCACATATTTTACATTGTTGATGCTTCACCTCTCTTCCCAGTCTGTCAGTAACGTTCTGTTTAGCCCCTGTCTCAATGAAGCCCCTTTCATTCAAAAAGCGGAATGTGCTCTGATTAGTCGGCTGGATCAGCGTGTTGTGATTGGTCAGCCGCTTCAGTGTGTTTCGTAAATGTCACGTCCCTTACCACCGTGTCAATTTCATGCCACTTACCATCACTGCGTCACAACGTAGTATGCTAGTATGTGGTTCCAAATGTGGACGTACGGATGGATTCGGAACTACATACTAGCATAGTCTTATTATGTCTGCCATATAAAGATATGGTAAAAAATTGGTTAAGTAGTATTATACTGTAGTATGTGGTTATGAATTCAGCAAGTATCTCTTTGATATGGCAACAACACATTATTAATGCTACTCAACCATGCCTCTATGATTTTTTTTTTTTTGTTTGCTTTGGGTGGGAATTATGATTAATGTATGTGACATGTACTGTATGTTCCCAGAAAAAAACTCAAGACTATACAAAGTATACAATCAAGGTGTTTCAGGGATTACAGAAACTGTGTTTTCTAATATTAACAAATTTTGGAGTGACTTTGTGCTTTGTTAACTTTTTTTAAAAATATTTTTTTCATACTCAAAGAGCAACACACTAACGAAAGTTAAAAATGTAAAAAAAAAAAAAAAAAAATTGACTTGTGTATTTACAAATATATCTCGCTCTGCCTAAAATATAAACACTTATACCATAGTAAGTGGGCTTACCATAGTGAACATGAAAAAAAAAACATGTTTTAATTTTGGAGAACTATTGGTGGTGTGTTGACTCATTATTCAAATTTAGTTTACTTTAAAAAAAAAAAGAATATTTACATCATGCAACTTTAAGGTTTTCAGAGAATACATTTTATTTTGTAAATAAAGCTCACTAACTGAATTATTTGGTCATGAATGGAGTAGAATTTTTTTAATGAACAGATTAAAAAAAAAGAATTGCAACAATGAACAACTGCACTATTAATGTAAATATTGTAGCTACCTGTACCAAGTCAATAATAAAGTGGCAATAACAACAAGTTATCTTGATTCAAAGATTTACTTTCTTGATTTACACAGTAATCATCAGTGCTGCTTGCTCTGTGCCATGTTAGCTCTGTTCCAAAATCTAGTGAGCTGCATTGCTGTCTGCTACCTACACAGCAAGCATCCAAAAACTGAACAGGCATAATTATGAGTGTTTCCTGAGCAACAAATCAAAAAGGATCATGTGACACTGAAGACTGGAGGAATAAATGACATTTTAAAATCAAAGCAGAAAACAGTTATTTTAAATTGTTGTAATTTTTTACAATGTTATTGTTTTACTGTATTTTTGATCAATCAAATTCATCCTTGGTGAGTATAAGAAACCTTAAAAAATATCACCAACCCAAACTTTTGAACAGTAGTGTCTGCATACAGTATTGTATGGTGTTAATATTCTAGTCTGGGTAGACTTAGTTCACTTTTTTTTCTGAAACATTTCAAGTTGTATATTAGTGATGTTAAGACCTGCTATGACAGACTGTAGCTTGTTGGACTGAATTTATTATGACAGAAAGAATCTGTTTAATCAGCACCATCCACAATTATGGGAGCGATGTACTCAGAATGACGAATTCCAAAGGAGAAGCTGGGAGCTTTTGTTCCTGTGAAAGTAACCTGCTGAGAAAGACAAAGAAAATAGTTGTAGTATACTAGTTGTATAATAGTTGTAGTAATTGTAGTTGTAGTATACTAAATGTAGTTATATACTAGTTGTAAAATAGTTGAAGTATACTAATTCTTGTTATTTTAAGTAACAGTAGTTTTAGCAGAGAGGAATTCTAAACTAAAAACAGAATATATATACAGTACACTACCATTCACAATTTGGCGTCTGTCAGATTTTTAAAATATTTTTGAAAGAATTTTCTTAAAGGGATAGTTCATTTTGAAATTAATTTTTGATATGTTTTAGCTTACCTCAAGGGTATCCAAGTGATGTAGGTGTCTTTGTTTCCACCGTATTTTCAATTTTGACATTTTTTCAGTCAAACCGTTGTTGTCTATCAGTCATACACTGGAGCCTATGGGGGTCCACCAAAAAGCATGCACAGAGAAGTCAAAATTAAACTTGATTTAATGACTCGTAAATGTAAGTACACATTGATGGCCTAAGACATGAAACGAGCGGTTAATGTGAGAAAATGAACAGTATTTATATCGTTTTACCTCTTGTAATAATAGCCATGACAAAATGATCTGACGGCACAGGCGCTTCGGTCTGCGCATGCGCCGGAAGTGATCGCTTGTGCGCCTACGTCACTCTTTGTTTATACAGAGAATTCGGAAGTTTTACCTTTCACTAAACATATTTAGATATATGGGAAACCGCAATGGAAGACGATTTCGGTATATCTAAATATGTTTAGTAAAAGGTAAAACTTTTTAAAAAAAATCTCCTTGTATATATTGAGTGACGTCACACGCAAGCGATCACTTCCGGCGTAACATTGAACTGATTCAGTTCAGTTCAGTTGGACATTGCACAACTGATTCAGATCACTTGGACGTCACTGTGATTACACGAGTTAAACAATATAAATACTGTTCGTTTTCTCACAAAAACCACTCGTTTCGTGTCTTAGGCCATCAATGTGTACTTACATTTACAAATCATTAAAATCATGTTTAATTTGGACTTCTCTGTGCATGCTTTTTGGTGGACCTCCTTAGCCTCCAGTGTCTGACTGATAGACAACAACGGTTTGACGGAAAAATGTCAAAATTGAAAATTCTGTGGAAACAAAGACACCTACATCTTGGATGCCCTTGAGGTAAGCTAAAACATAACAAAATTAATTTCAAAGTGAACTATCCCTTTAAGCTCACCAAGGCTGCATTTATTTGATAAAAAAATACACTGAAAACAGATATATCGTGACAAAATTACTACAATTTAAAATAACTGTTTTCTATTTTAATTTATTTTATATATTTATATATTACATTTTTTAGCATCATTACTCAAGTGCCACATGATCCTTCAAATATCATTCTAATATGCTGATTTTTCATTTTTAATAAAAAAATCTCACAGACCCCAAACTTTTCAACTGGTAATGTTTAAGTACAGACCCTTTCTGGATGGTGGGCTCCAGGTCCTGGTTTCTTGGTAGTGTCCCCAGGCATGAGATTGCGACCAGTCATGCTGTATTGAGGGGCCTTGTGTCTATACACACATGAATCTACTACTTGGTAGGTCCCTGGGCCTGGAGTCTGAGAAAGGGATTGTTATCATCTTTTCAAATACATATACTAAAAGGTACACACTGTAATGTGTCCGCACCTTCCGTAAATCTTCATGGAAGCTGCCAATAAGACTACGACCGCTGAAGGAGACATTTGGAGCGGCTGTTTTATTCACGACTCTTGGCCCTAATACTGGGGGGAGCATATACGCAGCTGGACCTGGAGACAAGATAATGCACAAACGTCTGGGAAACATACCTGTATTGCTGTGTATATCTGTGGAAATCTACCTGGTGTTTGGTCATTGCGGAATAATTTAGTTCTCGCAGAGAGGGAGAATGCAGGGGCCAAGTAATAGGTGGTCTTTATTGCCTTTTCAGGTGAGTAACTGCCTGATTAAAAAAAAAAAAATCAAAAGAATTAAACTTTACTGTATATGTTCTACATTGTTCTACATTTGCACACAGCTACAAAGCCTGTGTGTTTTTGTTGTGTGAAATACCTGGGCCAGGGGTCTGGAAGGGCTGAATATCCTTTCGCCGGCCGTAGACAGAGTATGCAGGGGTTCCGTCCCGACCCACCCTGGTGATGTTGGAGGGAATGAGGTATCCGGGCCCTGGGGAGAAGTTGGCCTGTAAGTCACGATGGCGCGTGCCAAAGCTAAACGCTGGGCCTTTCTGCATCCGCGGGTCATGGTTGTTCATTCCTGTAAAGGGCAAAGAAAACACACAAAATTTAGATTTACTGCAGGGCAATAGTATTTTGGACCCCTAACCCTTTTATTAAAAATAACATTTAGAAATTGTTGTGTGTTCTTAGAATCGTTCCAACCTTTCACCCCATTAGCCCCTGATTTACTGCGTTTATTGTGAATTGTGTGTGTGGCCTAATATCACATAAAATCCATCGCGTTCTTTAAGATCACTAAATTCGAGGCTTCTGGTCATTCCTAGGATATCTAAGTCCACTAAAGGAGGGAGGGCGTTCTCACATTTAGCTCCTAAACTCTGGAATAGCCTTCCTGAAATTATCCGAGGCTCAGATTCGCTGTCCCAGTTTAAAACTGCATCTCTTTAGCCAAGCATTCACATAATGCTTAGCTTTTATTCCTATGTTGAATCAGATCGAATTTAATATTATAAAACTTAGGTTATGGTTGCATAGTAATTACAGTCATTACGTTCCTGTGGATATTGCATGAATGATGGGTGGTTGGGCAGAAATTGTGTTTTGCGGTAGGTGGTATGCAATACGGAACCGTTGCCACTGAAACTGCATATTAATGCACCAGTGGGGCAAGACAACCTTAGTCAAACGGGTTGACCGTATGGTTGGGTTGCGGAGAGATTGTGGTTAGGTCTCAGCATCCCTTGAGGGATGTAGAGGTCCGTAAACTGGGCTGAGCATAAAAACAAAGGAAACCTATGAAACGTGTGTGTCCATGTGTATGTGTTAGAGAGAGAGAGATTGTGTGTGTGTGTGTGTGTGTGTGTAAGTTACCAGTTGCCCCTGGGAGAGAATATGCTGGCCCTGGACTGTTATACATTGCAGCGATGGGGCCCCTTGGCCGGTGGGGTCTCCAAGAACCCGTCCATACATCCACAGGTGACATAATGTCTGTTTAAAAAATGTTTTTAAAGAATTACAAAAATTACTTAAGAAAAAAATCTTTACTTCTGTTAGCCTAGATAAAACAATAACACATAAATATATTCTCATTTTATGATGCAAAGACAGAAGCTTTAACTTTACTCTTGCAAAATGGTAGTTTTGATGACACAGTATGACACTTTTTTGTAGTTTAGGCAACTAACGTTACAAGCACTTCATTTGCATTTCTAATTTAATTTGATTAAATAGTCAAAACATGTCATAGATTTCCTTAACAGGTAAAGTTAGCGTGATATGTCTACAACAAAACATACAAATCTAACAAACGAAGGAAACACAATAACTTACCTTAAGTGCAAGATATTCAAAAGTGAGTGAGTTTAATACTTTTTGATCTCGTGAATTTGTAAATAAATATTCGTTTAAAACCACATTCCAACAAAGTTCCACTTGAACGATCGATATTACAATATATGAACGATAAATAAAGGCGCCGAAAAGCTCTGATCAAACTTGCAACGTCTGCGACTGTTTTAGATACTTTAGTTGTTTACTTTTGCATCTCTAAGACGCCATCGCCTTGGTGATTATTTGATGTCAGTTTGAGTGACATTCCAATGGCGAGAAGTTCACGAGTAGCTGCTCTACATGCCAATCCACTGTAACCCGTGCAGTAGACCTATAATTAATTATTAAACAAACTTAATTCAACAAATGCTCTCCTTAGAGATATTTCAAAGTTTAATACACGGTAGCTACTGTCTTGTCTATATTACAGACTACTTGGCTATACAACATTTATAAAACACATCAATGTCAAAGTTACAACCAAAACGTTTGCCTGCAGTTATCATTACACTTAAGCCACAGTTAAAATGCGTGTGAATTCCATTACAAAAGATAACAAAATATTAAACCAACTTAACTGCATGCAAATATAAAGAAAACACGGGCACACTTTAGGCCCGTTCACACCAAGGAAGCAGACTCAGAGTTCAACGTCACAGCATAGCTATAATGATAACAGAGAAGCAATTTGGAATCACTTTCAAAACGAGGTAATGAACGATAAAAAACATTGGCAGCCAATCAGAATCCATCCTGCTGTAACAAACTCGATCGATGAAAGTGACAGACAAGAACGCGCGCTTATGACGTGATGATAATATCTTTAGTAGGTTAGTTATCGTTCTTGGTGTGAACGGGCCTTAAGGCTAAACAGTTCACAAAAATATATAGGCTATATTTTTTTTTTTAGAAAAAAAATCAAAAATAAATAAATAATTCTGCAGATGCAACTAGGCTTGATATTTTGCTAACTAATTCAAAACAGAAAAAAAAAAATATATATATATATATAGGCTATGTATGTGATATAACTGTTTTTGCTTTTAGGGACAACTTCGAGATACATATCAAATCACATTGAGATACATATCAAATACATCACATTGAGATAAATATCAAATAACTTGATCAGTCATACAGTTAATGAAACAACATTTCTTTATGGATATCTTCTTTTTTTTAGTTTAACCCTGATGGTGTTGGAGTATTTGGATGGTGGTTGTGTAGGCACAGCTCTCTCATTGAAGCTCTGAGGACGAGCAACAAGATGTTGTTTCTCTCTATTTCCTCAGGAGGGCGCTGTTTTAACACAAAAACATGCAAAAGTTTGTATAATACGTCTCCAATTATTGCTGTTATTTGTTTGCCATCTTTATTTGTGAAAATTAGCACATGTACGCACAAACTTACTCTTGTTAATGCTCGAATGAGTCTCTGTAGTATAGCATGTTCAAACTGAGGACATTGAACCACCACACGACCCACACAGTCCAGCAAACAGCAGATGGTGTGCTGCTGAGACTAAAACAGCACAGAATTATAATCACACAAAGCTGTATAAGATGAAATAAACACTTGTAACTATACAATTGATTACTTTCAATACTTTTTATGCTTACAAAATGTATATTTACTACATGTATTAAGTCGCACACAATACAGTTCAACATCAAATTGTGTGTTTTGTGTGTTCTGTCAAGGGAGGCCAGACTCTGTTCAGACGTTCACCTTGTGAAGTGTGATAAGGGAGTTTTGTGCTGGCCAGGTTGAGGTCAGCCTCTCTATGTCATCTTTATTGAGAACAGGCTCCTGTTATAAGAAAGCACACCAGGTAAACCACTGCATTTGAAACAATGAGAAAAAAAACTTTCTCAAAAGTATATAGATTTAACAGACATGGATATATTATCTGTTATTTTGATCACTAACATAATTTTGTGCTAGAACTACTACTACAGAATTATACTGTGACCTCTGACCTTTAGTCTGTCCAGCCAGGTCCATAACAGTGTGCTCAGAACATCTGGATCTGTTTCTATGACTAATGTAACCCAGCCGCATTCACTCAAGTTGAGCTCATCCTGCAGAGAATTAAAACAGGTTCAAATCTCTTACATTGCCACAATATTTACTCATTTTAATTTCTTTTATTATTTACAACTGCAGCCACACTGAAAAATTTTTACTATTTTTTTTTACACTTTTGCCTTAAATTTTTTAATACAATCAAGTTTGATGTTTATGTCATTTCAACTTAAAGTAGGCTACATTATACATTGAATCTTGAATAACTTATTAAAACAAGTATAAAATTGCTTTACTTATTTTAATGAGTTAATGTAAAAACACGTCATAACTTATTTGTCATATAATTTTTTCCAATGTATTTTAAAATCTTATGTTATACAAGACACCCAGACAGAATAAGGAGAAAGTGAGATTTATTTTTTAAATTTTTTTAAGTGAAGTCAGTAGGTTATCTGAGTGATTTTAAAGCAATAACGTTTATAGATTATATACCATGATTTAAAAAAAAAATGTAATCATTGATCTGTATTCAGTATTTATCTGCACGTGAAATGGATGCAGTCGTATGACCAATAAAGGGAACCTTGGAAACATGATCATGCTTTGCAGTGTTCCTGCATTGATCAAAATATTTTGTCAGTCCTGTAACTAACAAGGCTATGAATTCAGGAACATATTTTGCCATACATACTATACCTGCAAGCCAGCTGCTCTTTTCAATACAGTGTCCACTGGAGGACGCAGTTGTGCCATTGCCTTAGCGACAGGAATCGATAATGACGACTGATCTAATGTATGATCCTCTCGTTGTAACTTAAAAAAAAAACATCCACATCATTTGCACAAATTAAAGGCCATACAAAATAAAAGTTCTCAAAACCATTCAGGCAGTGATCTTATGCAGGGAAAAAAACTGCAGACATTTGAATTAGTTTCACACTGACCTCGAGGTTTGAGCTGAACTTTAGGAAAACTTGAGGCTTCTTGGTTTTACATTTTGTCTTCTTGTTCACAGTCTTATTATATGAGTGAGGAGCTGATGTTCCATTGCTTTGGTCTGTCATCTGTATATAAGGAATCTTTTGCGATTCTGTTAGGATTCTCTGATCTTTTGATGGGCCAATTTCTCCATTGCTCATTTTCTGGTGTCCACCAGTTTGAGTAGAGTAATGTGAGAACATGAAATCCTAGCAGAGACAAGATTTCAAATGTCATGTAGCCTAATTTTCATAAATTATGTGTTCACAAACAATTCCTGTGATGCAAAGCATCTTCAGTCACATGATCCTTCAGAAATGGCAGCCAATACATTATCATCAATTTTGAAAAGTGCTGCTTAATATTTTTGTGAAACTAATACACTTACAAATAAATGTTGTTTTTTAAACTGTCTATTAATCAAATAATCCTTATATATATATATATATATATATATATATATATATATATAATATCAGGATTATACATTTTGAATATTTTTTAAATGTAATAACTGAATACATATTACATGAAAAAATTTTCAAAATTGATAATAAATATTATTGGTAAGTGAGCACCACTGATAATTCAGCATAAAATCAGCATATTAGAATGATTTAACAATGATGATCATGTGGCACTGAAGAATGGAATAATTAATCACACAATAAATGATTTTAAACGATATTAAAACTGATATTCTAAACAGCAAAAATGTAAATAATAATTCAAATACAAAAAAAATATTGGCTCTCACCTCAATGATGGTAATCTTGCTGAGATCTGATTCGCTGTAGCTTCGCTTGTTCAGTAGGACGTCTCTCTTCCTCTCCAAGAACCCGAATGGCTCGTCCCAGGACGTGCAAGAGAACATTGTGCTCGAGCCTTGCCTTTCCTTCAGAGCATTAAAGTTCCTCTTCAAAAGTGTCTCCTTAACTGCCTTCTTTAGAGCCAAAATGTTCACCCTCTTCTCCAGTTCTCTCTGGACCTTTGGAGGACTGGAAGCTCCCTGGGATATAGTGATCAGCATGCTGCAGAGGATGTGCAGGATCTTGGGTGTGTGTTTGAGTGTTTGGGCCTCTTCCCCGTGCAGCAGAAGGGCCTGACGCAGGAGGTACTGCCGAAGACTGAAGGAGGAACCGTGGCGCATGTTCAGACACGGGAATTGGGCCAGCTGAGAGCTCACCAGCCGGGCGAAATCAAACACCAGATTGATTTGTGATCGAGTCTGGATTGATCGAGGCCTTTTGATCCGGACGTAGTGGACAGCTTCACTAGCACTGATTCGACAGGTGTAGACTAGATAACATGCGATAAGAACACCTGTAAAGCAGGACGGATATTAAAGAGAATAGAATGTCACTTAATTTACATTGAAAGTAAGGATTTAGAAATTGCTACTTGCCTGTCCTGCCTAATCCGGCATGACAGTGAACAGCCACCTTCCCTTCCTGTACAGAGAAAGCCAAAACCTTCACGGCATCCACCATTCCCTCCAGAGAAGACACTCCAAAATCAGACATCCCAAAATTATAGAAAAAAACTGTCAGACAAAAAAAAAGGAATATAATTCAGTAATTCATCAGCTAATTTATTGGGTGAATCTCAAAAGCAACATTCAGGTCATATTTCACAATACAATATTAAAAGAAAAAAAGGATTTTGAATGAATCATTCATATATCAGGAGGTATATATTTGCATTGTGACATATATATATATATACATACATATATTTGCATTGTGACATCATTTTCATGATAACATTCTATTTTATAATATATAATGCACCATTCAAAAGTTTGGGTAAGATCCAGTAAGTTTTCTTTTTAATAGAAATTAATATTTTATTAAGCAAGGATGCATTCAATTGCATGAAAGTGGCAGTAAAGACATGTATAATGTTATGCATGTATAATAAAGCCTGTTATTTCTATTAATCAAGGAATCTTGAACAAATTATCAGTCTCCACAAAAACATTAATCAGCACATTTTTTTTATCATTTAAAGAAGGGGATAGGTACAGTATATATTTATGTATGATTATAATAATATATACGAATCTGGCACAATGCAGAACATATTATTATTTAAAAAAAAAAAAATTTGCATGTGTTTGGCTCACTTTGGCTGTCCATAAAGACCTGAGGTGAATATGTGAACCCACTGTCAGGCTCCAGAGGAGGGCCGCAGTGAGCATGTTCCCCTGGGAGCTGCATATTAATGATGGATTTAATGTTCAACCTGTAAACACACACACACACACACACTGCCAATTATTAACCAGAAACATCCCCCTCCAGATAAACATCCTGATTAGGATTGTATTATATAACACTCACTGTTTGAACTGTTCTATGATGCTGTATCTCTTGATGAGATATGTAGAAGGTCGTGCCATTGCAATAATGTCATCCGTCACCCTAAATACAAAGTGATGTGATAAATAAACAGATGCATTGAATATGTGCATGCATTCAAGTCGGCCTTTTATGTGCTGCTTGTCAAGAGTGGCATGCGGCAAGATGTCCCAACATGCTTGTCTAGTGTTCTTCTTATACTCTGCATTAAAAAGTTTTTTCCTCCTTTCATCAGGTCATCGTGCAATTGACGGTTTTTCTCAGTTGCTCTTATCAATCATTTTATTCCCCTTAAAGCTACTACACTGTGTATCTCTTTTAGTTTATTCTTAGCTAAAAACACTTAGTTCTTTCAAAAATATATGTGCTCATTAATGTATATTTACTTTGTTCAAGTAATAAGTGTGTATGAGTGTATAATATGCCATTGAAAATACATACGGGTAAAGCCTGTTTTATGCTTCTGCGTCGAATCGACGGCGTACCCCCGCAGACCCCTATCCGTCGACGCGAACCCCTCTCCGACCCCTCCGCCGTAGCTCGACGTGCACCTCCAAAAATTTGTAACTACGCGTCGAGGCGACGCAGACAGCAAGGGCTTTGATTGGTCAGATTATACATCAATTCAGGAGTGTAGCTTTTCCCGCTATTAGCGCTATTTTTAACATTTGCACCCTCGTTCTGATAATTATAATACTCTTATAAATAAAGTAAATAAAGAATTAAACGAAAAATAAACTGTTTTTTATTTCATTGTTAATATGTCTATATTCTTTTCTTTCTTTTTTGTTCGCAATAAACTTCAATCAATCAATAAATCGACGTTCGTTTTGAAACACAGTTTGTTGTTTATTTTCAATACAATGTTCACGGTTACATCATTGATAATACAGTACTAACCAAATCTGCCACGGGACACATTGTGGAGACTGAAAAAAAATCCTTCAAGTCATTCCGAACAGCTATCGTTATGGCAGCTCGGGTGGAACCTTTATTTTACTGTCTATGGGTGGAACGGGCCCTGGACATCCGTGTTGATTCTGTGGGGAATGGATAAAGTTTGTGTCGTCTCGTTATTAAAAGTCGATTAGCTCCAGCTGGCAGCTGCTAAAACAACATTCTCTCTCTTTCGCTCGGCGCGCACGGAACCAAAGAGAATCGTGAACCCCCCTAGCGTTCTGGCGGCGAAATGCACTGCGATGCACCACAACCTCACGGAGAAGCATAAAACGGCCACGACGCCGTTGTGGTGACGACGTAGCTACGCCGTGGAGTTGACGCAGAAGCATAATGAGGCCTTAAGGGGTTCTAATGTCAGTCGCCATGTTGCCCCTCCATCTTGAAAGTACATTAGCCAAAGAGGGACATACCCGTTAATTCAAGCTTCGCCTTTCGCGTTTACGTTTGAGTTAACACTCATGGAAGAGGTCGAACTGGAAGCCATGTTAATCTTGGACTACATTGGCCACCGTAGGAGTTAAAACGAAATCGGAATTGAGAGGAACAGAAACTAATATTCACTGGATGGTCACATACCTTTTCACCGCTAGATGGGGGTAAAAATCACACAGTGTAGCTTTAATGATATTGTGCTTTTTCTTCAACACCCTCAATGTTTGTTTTGTTTTTTTGTTTTGTTTTTTTGGTACAACAAATTTTAAACAGCTGTATCTCTAGGAACTTTTAGTGATTAGGACATTTTCTTCTAGCCATATGGACTTTCTAATGTAATAAAACAATTTGTTCTCTATAGCTTTTGTGAGAGCTCTTTTGACATGGCCATATTTGCCACTCAACTTTACCACATGCATGGGCTAAATGTATGCATGTGTCACAGCACAAGCTGATTCTATTTTGTTATAGAGTTTCCAAAAGCTTATTGTGTTTTAACACAATTGTGTATAATACAAATAAGTGACTTAAAAACAGCAGCGTTGAGGGGTTGAATAATTATGACATAGCTATTACAAAAGAAATACTATAACTCGAAAGAATTACATTATATATGGACATTATCACTTTTATTTTGCCACTAAACTGTTATAGGATTATATAACTGTTATATTGCACTTTAGAAAAGCTTACATTTGTAAATTGTTACATTCTCCGGGGGTTTGAATTCTTTTGATTGCAACTGTGCTCTCAGATATATAACCATTCCTATATGTTTGAAATCGTTCAGTCAATAGAACATTGTTGGCCTCACCAGCTGCTAAAGACTCCCTGAACGGCCTGCTGGCTCGCGCTCCAACACGCCGGACCCTCATAGCGGCAGTCTCTCCCTCCACAGGCCAGAAGACAGATGATCTTAGGAGGAACAGCCTTCACCAGACTCTCCCTGGCCTGAGAATATGATGGTCTGGGCACTGGAACTTGTGAAATCATGGAGGACAGGAGAGGAAAGGAGGGAAACTAACAGCAAATGACTGCTTCTATGCACTAATGGCTTAAAATGTAGCAGGTCATTATGTGGATTTCCTGTGCTTTGGAAAATCAGCTGAGGAATAGTATAGACAGGAATAATAATGTCAGTTTCCTCATACTATATACTGTACTAACAAGACAAGAAATTAATTAAAATAAGAGAAGAGCATTCAAGCTAATACAGTATAATCACTGCACGGCCGCCATGTTAGCTGACCCACATTTTAAGCCCGATGAATTATCTCCAGCGCTGAGCTTTTTTTTTTATATATATTATTTTATAATTTTGACACTCAAAAAAGAAAACCTGACTTACCCATGTGGCTCCATCCAAAGAAACAGTTAAATGTGAGAGGCGTACATGGGGATGTTATGACAAACATGTTAGAGAGAATGGCTTTACTGCATACATGTTGATGCCTCAAAGCTGACCCAGCGATTGGCTTCTAATCCTTATTAAGTGTCATAAACACATTAGTGGATAGACATTCACGATTCGTATTAAGTCTAATTATATAAGTGTCCAGCAGTCTGATACAATAATATCAAACCACTAGAAATATTTTTCTCATGTGCATTTTGCTTAATCAAAGGAACTTTTGAAAACAACGGCAAAGTTTTCTTTGTTCTGAATTACCCAAAAGAAGTTTATTCAAGTGTGTTATTATACTAAAAATAAGAAAGTATACTTTGTCTATTTTTGTCTAATTATATTTAATTTTTATAAGCATACTTAAAAAAAGCATATTTTAAACTAATTTTATAAAGTATACTTAAAGTTCAAGTAAATTTTAAGTAAATTTTCTAGTAAGTATACTAATAATATCAATTTACTAGTAGTAAACTTGATAGTGTACTATTTCAATACTGCTTGGGTCCCACTCTTTAGTATATAAAAGTATACGTTTAAGTGTACTATATGTGTAACAGTTGTTTGTAGTAAACTTTTCTCATTGCTGCACCTGTAGTACAAGTGAACGACAAGACGTGAAATAATCACGTTGGTCCACTTTGGAAAACGTGTATATGTCACTGTTTAGTTTAAACTCAAAACCATAAACAGGGCTATACTGCCCTCTTGTGTCAAATTATATTTCTATATTTATTTTTCCAACAAATAAAGCCAAAACTGCAATAAACCCCCGTCCAATACACCCTTGAACTTAATAGATGCAGTGGCTCAGTTGATAAAGCGTCGGGCTATAATCAAGAAGACCTGAGTTCAATTCCCATACTTGCGTTAAATTGTTGTGATTATATCAAACAAAGTGGCCCAAACAATATTACTATAACCCGGTATCCACAAGACGTGAAATAATCACGATGGTCCACTTTTGAAAACGTGTAGATGTCACGGTTTAAACTAGCCTGGTTCAACCAGACTCTAGTACATTTCATTTGTACATACTGTTGGGAATCTTAGCGACTGACATGACTCCTGAGCGGATCTTCAATCATAGTTTAGCAGCCAGGACTCGGGGCTTCCGAACACCGCGAACACCAGGCTAAAGTCCAAAATGTCACGGTCATTGTGCACGAGCTGCCCAGCACAAACTTCCAACCTTTCTGCCTCCTTCACTTGGTCCTCCGTTGTGCAACAAGAGGTGAGATGATAACAATCCGGCTTTAAATTCTGTATATTCGGCAGTTTCTTTACCAACAACGGACCGACTGGCTTTTCTCACGTCTTTCTCCGCTGCGATTACTGCACTTAAACTGACGCACTACATCAACGTCATCGTTCTCAGCCACTCCCTCTATTCGCTGATTGGTCCTACAAAAAAATGATTTCTGGAAACCTAAGGATATGGAGCGGTCCCAGACGTGTAAAATGAAATTGAGCGGAAGTGCGTAGGAGGGCGCAGCCAGGCTAGGTTTAAACCCCCTCAAACGTGAAACTTACACTTAAAACTTACCATGCATCACGACCTATTGGTTTTCATTAAACCGAGAAAAATTGAATTTTCTTTTATTGACGATCACTGAGAAATGGTCTATTATTTAAAATGCAAAAAAATGCAAAAAAAAAAAAAAAAAATACATTTATTATTTTCAAGGTGAAAAGGATTCATTTGCCTGGATCCACGCCGAAGAAAACGTCTAAATGTCACATTTTTAATGAAGCAACCTAAATAGTCCACTTTGGAAAATGTGTAGATGTCAGGTTTTCATTAAACCGAGAAAAATGGAATTTTGTTTTATTTACAATCACTGAGAAATGTTCTATTATTTAAAATGCAATATATATATATATATATATATATATATATTCAAGGTGAAAAGGATTCATTTGCCTGGATCCACCCCGAAGAAAACGTCTAAATGCCACGTTTTTAATGAAGCAGCCTAATGAGTAAAAAAGGCCCCAAAAATGACATTTTCAAATGGTTATAATAAATTAACTATGGGGTATTTTGAGCTGAAACTTCACAAATACATTCTGGGGACCCCCGAGACCAATATTACATCTTGTAAAAAGGGGCATAATGGGTGCCCTTTAAGTGTAATTTTAAGTTTATTGAAAAGTACATAAAAAGCAGACTGAAAGTATCCTTTCTTATTTTTAGTTTAAAAGAAGTATACTAATAATAAAATTTTTTTGTAAATGAATGCTCAGTGTAGCCAAATAAATGAGACCAAAGCAACAAGACAAGAATAAAAACACAAAACATTTTTTTTTTTTTTTTTTTTTTTTTTTTTTTGACAACATACTTGGATACATAACATACTTAGAGGAAGTTTCCGTGTAGCTCATTAGACTGTTGTGCATTCTGGCAGACAAATGCACAGAAATCCATCTGCAATCATGACATTTTGAAGAACATCAATGTAAAAACTAAATGCACAACTTTCTAGTGATTCCTTCGCCACACAACCAATTATCTAATTAGTGCTCAATAGGAATGAGGCCTCTGATGTTGTGTCACATTTATTAGGCTTCATTTCGGGGCTAGACCTGTATAGGTCCTTTGAATAGGACCATGTTCTGTATGAGATCATATCCCATTACAGGTATGTTACATATGTTGTGTAACTTTTGTTCAACAGCACTGCAATAACACCTGTGCGTGAGATTTAGCACTGTGTGTCATATTGTGTAGTGTAAGTAAGGTATCTAAACCAGTGGATTCAACAAAGTCAGCACAACTTGCAGAATCATTGTGCCTGTGAACCCTATCCTGGTGAACATGCCATCTCGCTATTAGCATGCTCTCTATAGCCAAGTGCCACTGACGTTGAAACAAGTGAGCTAAAAAAATAAAAATAAAAAAAATAAAACAGTGGGCTATTAGCACTGACCCTGATCCGCTGCTCCAGAAACCTTCTGTTAGTTATACTGGAGAGCTTTGAATCAAGCAGCCATAGTCTGAATATCCTTACAACAAATACACCTGGGCTTCAAAGGGGCATTGACCTCCCATTTGTGAGCAACATAGTACATCCATTGGTACATTTTCAAAATGCCCATCCAGCCCATCTCTGTTTGTATTTTAATGGATGTTTGACTACTGTAGACCTGTTGCAGAAAAAGTTAGTCCTGCGGAAAGAAATTGGAGTCATGTGCGTTGCTCAATGGCACAATGGTGATTGATGAGGACGATTGTGATGACAGAAATAACTGGCTCACATCTTCCAACCTCTGGAAAAGCAGCTCTTTAACCATCAGGTCATCACCTCTCCATGTACATTTCATTCTTCTCTCCATGGTTTCTTCAGGGTTGCACAAAACAGACACAAAAGCAGAGCCAGTCTGAAGAAAAGCGATGGTGCTGCCACTGCACAGCGGGTAAGTTGCGAGGTCCATCGTTCCTATGGAGGATCATGGTCTACGTGTCAGGTTTGCCATGGACACACATGGCGCGGGAGGTGCTTGGGTTGTGACATTTGTCACAAAAGAAGCTGTGTGTTTCTTTGGCTGCTGCTTGCTTTTATCAGCAAGTACACACAGTTCATGGATCCAGCGTACTATTGGGTGTTTCTCAACACTGGCTGCATCAAGGTCTGAAGCAGTTGCCTACCCTTGGCGGCATTCAATTACTTCAGCACCTCCATCATCTTCTTCATCATCATCTTCATCCTCTTCATCACTCCCCTCAGAAAAGATCTGTTGACGCAGGAAAAACACTGTTGCTTAGATAAATACCATGTAAATAATTGTTCACTCAACTTAATGGTACATTCTGTAACTTTTGACATTAGTGGTTATTAAACTGCATGCGTCTTGCGGAAGAACATATAGCCAGAGCTATTTGTCTAGTCCACGTGTGCTGGGCTACTTCGCAGCAGTTGTCGACCCGGTATAAAATATATAAACACTTATTATAGACATACTAAAAAAATTACATAGTGCACCTTTAACTTATAGGTATTCTTTTGCTTTGCCTTAGTGACGTTGTATGTACTTAGAATATAAAGTATTTTTAACTTGACAAGTTACAGTATCTGATATAAGCCTATATACAGTAAGTTTAATATAGCACATGATAGATAGATAGATAGATAGATAGATAGATAGATAGATAGATAGATAGATAGATAGATAGATAGATAGATAGATAGATAGATATGGGGTGAACTCAAAACAAACATTTATATGAGTTTGAGATGCCGCACAAAAACAAGGGATTAATGTAGTTCAAATGCATTTGTATTGCTGATGTTACAATAGAATAGGCTATTAACAGCAGAAACTGTAGTGTCAATTATTCCAACAAGACAGATTAATGCATATGTCCTTAAAAGTATTTTATCTGCAGTAAAGTTTGTAAAGACAATGTATATCAAACCTAAAACCACACATTGTGTGATTCAAAATGGTTGCTGAAGTGGACAATTTAGGCTACTTTATAATATGGTTTAGAAAAATGCAAAATGCTACACCTCTAAAACAGCATTGCACATCACTTTAAAAGTCATGAATTCGATTAATTCACAGGTTAGCAAAAATATTAAAAACAAACCATAAAGCTTACCATTCTGTTGATATGTTAAGCTTCAGCGCAGTATAGTGCAGTTCATGCAGCAATACATATTCACCCGTTATTTATAGCCTTTTTCTAGAAAACGGATCACACCTCACGAGAGAACCACGTCAGCAGCCAATCCGGTGCAGCCCATAGACTGCAGCCACATTACATTTGGTGTTTCTCAGAAACGAAACTTTGCTTGTGAGGGAGTTTCCGAATCATGTGAGTTATCACATAAAAGAACAAGGCTATAGGTTATTATAATGTAAGATAAGCAAAGACAGTCTTGTTGACATTATAGGCGTCACACCTTCCTAAAACCTATGAGTCTAACACACCCTTTTAGATAAACACATACAGAGGTGAGTGAACAACACAAAACAACATTTACATTTTACATTTATTAATTTAGCAAACAATTTAATTCAGAGCGACTTACAAATGAGAAATAGGCCTACAACTAGCATAAAGAGGAAATAAAGTTTCAGAAATCGTTTAGAAGCTAACAGGGAGAGATTGCTTTTAAAAGTGAAAGCATACATCTTTATGCTTTCAAAATGGTTGCTGAAGTGGAATATATATCTATCTATCTTTTTATGTGTGTAGCTACAATTGTTCAGAACTCTGCTAACCATGGTATTGTCACTAAACATGTGGTGAAGTTTCCGTTGTGACATCATTGGGACAAAAGGGAACATACAAGCCTTTATTTGGGGATAATAAACAAAATTTTAGTACTGTTATGCAAATAGTATAGTATGTTATAACATTACTGTCACTAGTGAAAATGTGCAGTGACCACCGAAACATGGGATGTTTAGTCAAAAATAAACAACAATATATGTTTTTATTCAATGTATATCCAAACTAATGAATCCTTAACTTTGAAATGATTAACTGTAGGCCTGTCTTTTACAAAGAAAGATTGGATTCAAAATACAACAAATCCCATACATTTGAAATAGTTAAAATTGTAATTGTTAATGTGTGAAAACTTTTCAATTAAATAGCAATATATATATATATATATATATATATATATATATATTTACAAGGTAGATGTAGCTAATCAAAATCTTAATAGCTCAAACTCTTATAAAATTATATGTGTTTTGACAAATTTGGGGAGAGGAAAATATTCTAAAACTTATACAATATAAGAATTAACTGTACAATTACTAGAAACTAGAAATTATTAGAAATTTGTATATTATACAAATTGCATGCATACTATATATATATATATTAGACTTATTATAATATTATATATATATTAGTGCTCTCAGATCAATTAATCAGGATTTATCACATCTAAAATAAAAGTGTTGGTGTTTATATAACGTGTGTGTGTATTATTATTAATATAATTCCTAAAAATATTCCCATATTGACCTATACTGTATGTGCTGTTGTTAGTAAATGCATCATAAAAAAATGGGTAAATGATCATAAAAAAAACCAGCACAACATGGATTTTCGTTGCGGATTTTGCTATTTTTATTTAGTTTTTATTTTTTTTACATTTTTTTCCGGGGCTTTTGTTTTGTCAGTTGGGCCCCGGACCAACTGAACCAAGCAATGCAGAAACCAAAGGTTTCACCAAAAAAACACTTGTAGCATTATTCAAGATTCGGTAAAGTTAAAGAGGTTTCTCGGTTCACTTTTAGCATTACATGCATTGGTTTTTTTTCAGGTCGGTTCTTCGTATAGACTTTGTTGTAGACTTGAGGCTTCACGTAGGATGTCAGGCTTCGCAGCATTACGGCGCTGGCCTCTGCGCACCTGGACACCAACGCAAAACAGGGAGTTTCCCCTCTGAATGGTGCTGGGCCAGATGACCTCGCCCGTGGCAGCGAGGATTTACATGAGATCCGCCGTCATGATGCTGCAACAAACAATATAACCATTCAGAGATAGGAAATGCAAATGGATATCAAATAACATGTGGTACAATTATATAACAATATTGCATTTGAAAGACGTTGTTTAGATTTGTGAGGTTTGTTTGTTTAGTTCTGATGTCTTTTACAGTATCTAAAAAAAGAGTTTGAAATAGGCTATTCAGTAGACTACTCACATATTAGTGCGACGAGATCACTCAAGGTTTCATGGCGTCCACGGAGGAACCACCATAGACCTGTTAAGAGGATTTAGATTCGGTTACACAGTGACAAAACCACCAAAATCAATTTTGCATTACAAAATTGTGATAGAAAACACTTTTGGAAAACTTTTATGCGATACATTATTCTAAATAAAAATCATAATAAGTAATAATAATAATTGTGAGAAATGATCTCTTACCCTGCTAATCCGTCAGCAAGCGGCTCTCACGAAGTGTCATCGATGTGTCGCTGTAATTTATACTGGTACACTGTTGCCAAAATCCCGCCCTCAACTGATCTGAGAACTGCTGTTGCCCTGGTTTACATAGGTTTCTCTTTCTCGGTAAGTTTCTGTTCTTCTGTCTGCCCATCCCTCTACAGGATGGATTTGTTATTCTTGGTGAATGACACAGCATTTTTGTTAATATACTTCATTAGTTAATATAACATGCACTACTCCACTCTCAGAAAAAAAAGGTACGAAAGCTTTCACTGGGGCGGTACCTTTTCAAAAAAGGTACACTTTTGTACCTAAAGGGTACCCTTTAGGTACAAAAGTGTACCTTTTTGAAAAGGTACCGCCCCAGGGACAGCTTTTGTACCTTTTTTTCTGACAGTCCTCTTTGCTGAGACAACACATTTTTCTGACTGCTACGTCCCAGGTCATATATTTATTTTTGTTCATTTCAATTGGAAATGTGTGTATTGCATTGTATTTTTCCTGTTGGCTATAACAGCCTGCAGTGGGAAATGTTGTTTTCCTGTGCTTCTCCCTATCCTCTCATAGGAGTGTGATTGGTGCAAGCCATCTGTTCCTCATGATTGTGGAAAGGTGCCTGTATTTCAACAGAAGGAACTGGTTGTGCAAAGAAAGACACTGAGATATTGTTTTAAGAAAACCTGTTTCTCCTGCTGTGGTGGCAGCCAAAGTTGATTTGTTGTAGTTTTATTGTTATTGATTGCAGAAGCATGGTGCCATTTACCCTTTTCCCGGGTTAGTAAGGAAGTCAGAGAAGAGGTTTGTTGTTTACTTGATAGGTTATTTTGACTTTCTTACTCCAAGTTTACTTTATCTTAGTTATTTTGGCCTTATTGGAAATTATTGTTACTGTAATTATTGATATTTTTATCATCTGCAAAGCCCTTGAGAAGTATTTAGTTTGTGTGATGAGTGGGGATGCAGTCATCTCTCGTATGTTCTTGCTCTTGTGATCCGCCCTATCTTGCCAATAAGGGGATTTAACACTGACCAATTACTTTGCATCCCTTTCTAGGATCAGAACACTTTTGTTTTATTATATTGTTCGAGAATATTAAAAAATTGGGGCTGGTAGAAATCTGGCTTGGGAAATGATTTTAACAGCTCTCAAAAATTAGAACGGTACAGTATAGACCATTTCACAAGATGTAAACAACACTGGTCCAGAAGCACTTCCTGTTTCAGTTTTTTAACACTACATAAAAGCTGGGATAAAATACAACCAACAGAACATTTAAAACTGAATCAAAAAGTTAAACAAACATCTTTAAGATGTTTTCTTTACATGTGAAATAAAGAAAACAGTTACAAACTGAAACAGGAAGTGCTTCTGGACCAGTGTTGTTTACATCTTGTGAAATGGTCAATAGTCATTTTAGTAAAAGCCTATTACAAGGTTCCGTTTGCATGAACTAATAAAGAACGGAGAGTACTTTCAACATTCATTCATCTTAATTGGAAATGACACTTTAAAAAGGGCAGTGCATTGAAAAAGTAGGGATGAGTGAAAAAGTATTCCCAAGTTAAGATGTTCCAAGATGATAGACTGGGTGGTGTAATAAAATCATTGTTCACACTTATGCAGTTGTTATTTTTTAGTTTTTATTTTTCTCTGAAATGTGTCACTTTGGTTTTTAGTGGCATTGCATAGGTTGTAATTTTTACAATAAAGGCGCAAAAGTTCTGATATGATCTTTACGTCTCAAAAACATTTAAATTAACCAGTGTTGTTACTAACACTGACAAATTAAAGGTATTATAAAAATAAAAGCTATAGTTCAAAATATGAATAAATACTACAATACCAATGCCAATACAATAGCATTAAAATAATACTAAATTAACATTTTATGGACCTTCATTTAGAATGCTTTTTTTTACCCCAAAGTCTTCAAAATGGAGCCAAACAACATGACATATAGACTATAAAATATGAAACTATTGGCTATCAGGGGGGGAAAACACACAGAGACAAAATATGTTTTACATTTTATTAAGAGGGAGTTGCCTGTAGCACATTAGCAAATTCACAAAGACAAAATAAATTGTATTTGTATGAAAACTAATGTCCCTATTGCTACAAACCAAGCTGGTTGGTTATACTCAATGAAAGCCACTAGAGTATTTATTTCTGGCTAGATCTAAAGGTCCTTTAATTTGGACAGTTTTGTATGAAATAAGTTCTCAATACAATAGTAAACATAGTTACCCATTGTAAAGTTTGTTGAGTGTAACCTTTTTTAAGATATTTGATCCACCGGATTACTACCAGGCCAATCTGTAAAATCAGAGGGCATGTGAACCCTACACTCAAAAAAATAAAGGTTATAAAAGGGTTTTACAGTCACGCCACAGAGGAAACATTTTGGGCTCCCTAAAGAATCTTGAACAGTTGTTAAAAATAACCATTTTTTCTAGAACATTTTAATAATCTAAAGAACCTTTTTGCGCATTGGAAAGTTGGAAGGTTTTGTCCCATGAAATAAAGAACCTTTATTTTTAAGAGTGTATCCTAGTGGACATACACCAATAAATACATATGACCGTCAAATGGGCATTGACCTCATATAGCAATGTAAAAAAAGCAATGTAAAACATTTTCACATATACTGGACAAATGCCCGTCCAGATTGTATTTCAAACAAAGGCCTGTGAGTCCACATGTAGAAACAGAGAGTCCACATGTAGAAACAGTCAGTCCTGCTATGGCACAATGGTGATTGAAGAAGTTTGTAATCACAGAAATAACTGGCTCACATTTTTTCAACCTCTGTACCAGTAGCTCTTTAACCATCAGGTTATCACCTCTCCATGAACATTTCATTCTTCTTTCCAGCGGCAGCGTTTTTCTTCACTGTTGCACAAACGGACACAAATGCAGAGTAGTCTGAAGAAAAGCGATGGTCCTGCAGCAGGATTGTTGCAAGGAAATCATACGTGTAAGGTTTGCCACGACGATATCACAACAGAAGATGTGTGTTTGTCTCTGTGATATAAGCATATATAACTATACACAGGCTTATGTCACCAAATACTGTTGATCCAGCCTGAGTCAAAGACTGCAAGCAATCTATCCTTGGCAACAGATGCTTATTTCAGTATGTACATCAACTTCATCATCATCATTGTCCTGCTCTTCATCATATCCCTCGGATAAGATCTGTTAATGGAGAACAGGCATTGTCACTCAGTTAAATGTATACAGTATATATATAATATAATATAATATATATATATATATGAAGAGATCAGATGCAAAAGCCTCTAAGTGCCATTTGAAATTTTCTTCTAAAATGATCATTTTTATCAAGCTTGTATATTTAAGTTCAGTAATTTCACTTAAATGGCAATGAAGATTACCTATTAATTGTAATTTAAGTGAAATTACTGAACTTAAATATACAAGCTTGATAAAAATGGTCATTTTAGAAGAAAATTTCAAATGGCATTTAGAGGCTTTTGCATCTGAACTCTTCATATGTATATGTATATATATATATATATATATATATATATATAATGTAATGGGTAATTATATTGTAAATATATGTATATATTTTTAGTTTAATATTAATCTTCTGTTTAGATGTGCACACAAAACAATAGCCTATAACAATGGCCAATAGTCAATAACTGTGAATGCAGAAACAGAAGATTAGTATTTAACTATATACTAATATATATATATATATTATATATATACAGTATATATACCATAATATCATAGCAGATGCTCTCTCATTATATTTGAATTACTCGTTTTAATTTACTCATTAAAACTGAATTCCAAGTCCCAATACATAGTGCCATTGTCCGTCATACCTACAAAACCTGTTTCATGTTTTTAAAGCCTTATCTGCAGTGACACTTCACTGCATTCCATTGCTGAAAATTACGAAAGTTGAGTTCACAAATAAATGATTTAGATACGTGATGTTATTTACTGCAAAAACTAAAAAAAAAAAAAAACTTGTAAAAGTAAACTATCTGATTCAATTTTGTAAAAGTTACTGCATGTAACAATGTTAACATTGCTTTAAAATTCTAATTTCTACCACTTACAATGTTAAACAGGGCATATCATTTTCACAAAGCATATATTTGATTGTTTTCACATAATTAAATATGGACCCAAACCACAAATATCATTAAAGTACTTGTATACTTACTGATGATTGTTCATTTGGAATAACAGCAACATTGTTTGCTTAAGTTTATTGAAAAAAATCGTTTAAAAAAGCTTACCATGCTGATGATAATTTTTTGTTGATGCGCATTGCAGCCTTAAGGAGAAGTGGATCTGCATCCATTATTTATACTCTTCCAACAGAAACTGTTCACACCTCCTCAAAGAACACACAAGCATATGGTGATCTGCAGCAGCCAATCAGATGTTAGATTACATGTTTTCACTGAAAAGAAAGTGCGAGTAAATGAAGAGTTCAGATGCAAAAGCCTCTAAATGCCATTTGAAATTTTCTTAGTTATTGATGATTTTTATCAAACTTGTATATTTAAGTTCAGTAATTTCACTTAAATAACAATTAATAGGTAATCTTCATTGCCATTTAAGTGAAATGACTGAACTTAAATATACAAGCTTGATAAAAATTATCATTCTAGAAGAAAATTTCACATGGCACTTAGAGGCTTTTGCATCTGAACTCTTCAAATATTAGAGGGACTTCAGAGTTTTTGAATCCAGTGAACAAATGGGTTATTGTATTAAGTAAAGTTGCCCATTTCAATCTTCATCTTCTGTGTCTACGTCTTCATCTTCTTATCTGCTGCACACACCTGCTACAGATGTATTGCAAAACACTTTGGCTGCAATTGAGTTGGGATATTAGGGACAGGTTTGGTTGCACAGTTATGTTTAAGTGGTAAGGGAAGGGTATTATTTTTAGATGCAATTACAGAAATTTTTAAGTACATGCAGGTATTTTATTAAATAGAAGTACAACATAAAATCATGTATGTACACAATAATTCCAATGTATCAAGTGATTAATTTATATATTAGTATTAGACACTTAATATAAAGTGGGACTATAGCTGAATTATAATAAGCAAAGAAAGTTTGATAAAACAGTGAGTGAAATTGTGTTTCATGCCTCATGCTTGTGGGGGGTTATGGCAGTTCTGTTTCTGGAAAGTTGTTGATTGCATTGTGGTAGATTTTTTGCTTCTTCTTTCGCTCCTGACTAAAAATTGACCTGGGGGGTCTCCAATCAACAATGGTTTATAGTCGACACTTAAAGGGTTAGTTCACCCAAAAATGAAAATTAAGTCATTAATTACTCACCCCCATGCTGTACCAACCCTGTAAGACCTTCGTTCATCTTCGGAACACAAATGAAGATATTTTTGATTAAATTTGAGAGCTGTATAACTACCACATTGGCTCCTAAGGGACTGCCTCTTGACGGCCCAGAAAGTCAATGAAGAAAATGTTTAAATATCCCAAGTGACTACCGTGGCTCAACTATATGTTTATCAAGCGACGAGAATACTTTTTGTGCGAAAAAACAAACAAAAATAACGAGTTTATTCGACTATTCCTTTTCTTCCTTGTAGGCCAGAAACGAGACTTCCTTAGATTTCCACGACGCATGTGCGAGAATTGCGATCTGAAGTAGTGTAAGGAGATTAAAAAAAAAGTATTCTCGTCGCTTGATAAACATATAGTTGAGCCACGGTAGTCACTTGGGATATTTAAACATTTTCTTCATTGACTTTCTGGGCCGTCAAGAGGCAGTCCTTTAGGAGCCAATGTGGTAGTTATACAGCTCTCAAATTTAATCTGGATTCTGATAGAGGGCCATGAGACATAGACCTGAGTGCAACAATGTGGTAGTTATACAGCTCTCAAATTTAATCAAAAATATCTTCATTTGTGTTCCGAAGACGAACGAAGGTCTTACGGGGTTGGTACAGCATGGGGGTGAGTAATTAATGACTTAATTTTCATTTTTGGGTGAACTAACCCTTTAATATTTATATTACTACGTTCACAGTCGACAACTGGCTTTGAGATGCCTTTGAATATGCTTTAATCGCGGCTGAAGGATCTCAGACCGGTTTCAGAGAGAATCCCGCACCAGCAAAAAGAATACTATAGTTTGAAAAGCATGGCAAAGGTGACATGATTCATTACATAATTTCCCTGTTCTTATTCAGCAAACCCTTCTGTAGAGCTTTAAACATCTGTCAAGTGACTTCCCTTTTTGTTATATTCGTTCATGATACACAAATCCAACACAGCATTGATATTTTATAATAACCACTGTTTATATTGATTTCACTATTGATTTCATTTTTGAATGTTATTTAATTGCAATATCTCTCCACAAGTTTCCGAGGGGCGCTCCTGTAAAAAATAAAGTGGGCGAAACTTCCGGTGAGGCGGCGGAAGTAGCATTCCAATGGTATTTTGTGTGTTAGTTAGCGAAGAGGCTAGCTGTTTTTCGGAGAATTATTTTACTATTTAAAGACGCAAATCTTTATGAGAGATGTCGTTACGGAGCTCAGGGACAACATGTGCTGTTCGCGGTTGTATGTATAACCGGACTAAACTAATTCAGTGGCTTAAACGTGATTGTTTTGACCATAAGCTGAAAACGAAATCAGAGTGATCCTGCCAGAGCCCGTCTCTGATCCTGCCAACGACTGTAGTTTCCATCACCTCCCAAAAGACGACGAATCTTCCTGTGTACATTTGTTTAAATTCTTAATATTCTATAAACTCTATCAGCATGTGATACTGTTCGCTACTGATGTTACACCTAAACTCAGGATCAAAGCCAGTGTTGACAGAATACCAAATGTGCCAGTTAATGTATTCAAGTAAGTAGCACATTCATTTATAATTTTGAATAAACTCCAAAGCACAATGACTCAGTGTGTATTTTTTATTTTAATTGTTTGTCAGCTCACACAACTGTCTGTCACCATGCCTTGATGAGTATTGATTATTGATAATGTTATTATAATACTCCCAACTACTGCGGAGGGTAAAGGCACTGTTATTTCACCCTTTTTAATTTCGTTGAGGTTGTGTTCCCACATCGTTAGCTAGTTTGGATCGCTATAACTTGAATGACTGTCAACTGTTGAATGAACCAGTGTCAAGCATGTCAAATCCATAGGTCAAGTCGCGCTTTGTTTACTTCGAACCGGAAGACGCACCCACTTTTGACGCAGGGCAGTAGGAAACTTGTGGATAAATAAAAATGCTATGGTAAGTAAATGCTATGATTCATTTACTTACCATAGCATTGCAACATTGCTATGGTAAATGCTATGAAACATTGGGCAAAAAAACAACAACAGTACAATATGAATTTGTTGCGAATTTTGCTATTTTTATTTTTTATTTTTTTATTGTTACATTTTGTTCCGGGGCTATTTGTTTTACCAGCGCCCCGGAGCAGCTGAACCAAGCTTTGCAGAAAGGTTCACTTAAGGTTCATTCTTAACATTAAATGCAATGGTTTTCTTTTTAACTTTGTATACTTGAGGCTTCATCCAAGATGTCAGGCTTAGCCTCTGCGCATCTGGACACCAACTCAAATCAGAGGTAGAGACTTTCCCCGCTGAATATTGGTGATCCAGATGATCCTGCCCCTGGCAGCAGGAGATGAGATCCGCCACCATGATGCTACAACAAACAATAAAACCATTCAGAGACAGGAACTGTATATGGTTTAAAATATCAACATGTGGTACAAATATATAACAATATTGCATTTGAAAGGCGTCGTTTAGATGTAACATTGTGAGGTTTGTTTGTTTAGTTCACTGATGTCTTTTACAGTCTCTAAAAAAAATTGAAAAAAAGTTTGAAATATTCAGTATAGGCTACTCACTCACATATTGGTGCGACGAGATCACTCAAGGTTTCATGGCGTCTCCCACAGAGGAACCACCATAGACCTGTTAAGAGGATTCAGATTCCAGGTTACACAGTGACAAAACCACCAAAATCAATTTTGCATTAAGTTACTTATAGTCAGGTGAATATCTGTTGGGGGACCAACAAAATAGTGTTAGCAGATATTGTTAGCAGATATTAAGCTGGCTAATACTCTAATGACAGTAGTTGACATGTAGTTGAAAAGTTACTTATAGTGTCTAAAGTGGACTATCAAATAAAGTGTTACCCAAAATTGTGATAATAGAAAACCCTTTAGGGAAACTTGTAGGGAACCCATTATTCTAAATAATAATCAAGTAATAATACTAATTGTTAGAAATGATCTCTTACCCCCTGCTAATCCGTCAGCGAGCAAGCGGCTCTCACGAAGTGTCATCGATGTGTCGCTGTAATTTATACTGGTACACTATTGCCGAAATCCCGCCCTCAACTGATCTGAGAACTGCTGTTGCCCTGGTTTCCATAGGTTTCTCTTTCTCTGTAAGTTTCTGTTCTTCTGCCCATCCCTCAGGACGGATTTGTTATTGGTGAATGACACAGCATTTTTCATTAATATAACATCCACTAAAATTAACTCTTCTTTGCTGAGATAACACATGTTTCTGACTGCTTCTGAACTTTTTATTTTATTATAAATATTGTTTGAGAATATTAAAAATTGGGGCTGGTATATCTTGCTCAGGAAATGATTTCAACAGCTCTCTCACTAACACGATTTCACACGAAAAACACGAAAAAAAAGGTCTTTTTTAACAAAAGTTTCCATTTGTTAAGATTACTAGAGCATTCCCATGAACTGATATGGAATGAAGAATACGTTTTTTTACATAGCCTAATTAATTAATGTTAATTGATGGCCATTGCAAATTAACTAACATGAATGCACAACAGAACTTTATTGTGCTAGTTAATGTAGGTAATGCATAAAAAAATGAGACTATATTGTAAAGTGTTTCTGTAGTTGATTTATATTATTTTAGGATTTCTTCCTCTCTGTTAGAAATCTGCAGGTTTCTGTGGTGTCTGGTTTTGTTTACACCCTTGGCCACAGAATGCGCAGGTTACTTTCGAATCTGCTCTGAATTATGAAGGGGTTATAAAGATAATGTTCATAAATGTGAATGATAAAATGTTAATGACATCTGCATGTTTAAAACTCAGATTAGATTAAGGTACCAAAAAAAAATGGAACAACGGAAGTTAATGGGGTCCAAGTCCAAATGTTGTATGAATGAAATGATTTTTTTTTTTTGATTTTTTTTTTATGGTATATAAACCAATATAATACAAAACAACAGCACTAATAAACTGTAATGAAAAGGATGCATACATTATGCATACGTGTGTGTGTGTGTGTGTGTGAGAGAGAGAGAGAGAGAGAGAGAGAGAGAGAGAGAGAGAGAGAGAGAGAGAGAGAGAGAGAGAGAGAGAGCTCGTTCCACTTTGTGTTTATGCTTTCGGATCAGACCTTGATTTAAATGTATTTTTTTTTATGCCAGTTTTGTTTATTATTTTGTTAATTAAATTCTTTAAAAAAAAATTTGTTTCAATACTCCAGGGTTCCTATTTTCCATTTCAAAATTAAATACTTTTCCAGATTCAAGTTTCCAATCCTCTCTCAGATTATAGCATAAATGGTTCAGCATTATTTTCCGCTTTATACTTGGTATAAGCTGTAATACTCTCATCTGTAAATATTGTTTTTATTGTCTATGGGTTTTTTTCACTGATTTTCTTGAAGTGACAACATACAGAGCCCCTAAAATAAAATAATAATAAAAATACCGGCTTTTGCATATACTGTACACAAGAAACTTTTTCGTGCCCTCAAGAAACTATTCACATGTGTACTGGAATTTGTTTGCTTACGCATTACAATTTCTAGTATATTATTACCCATTTCCTTTGTGCGTCACTGCCATCTTATTTCGAAGAAAACAAGAGCATTAATAGAGATCTATTAATGCTCTTCCAAGTCCAAGGGTCTTTGTTGCTTTCGTTATGGCAGTACATCATATTTCAAGACCTTTGGTTTGCTTTGACGCATACTTTGCGGCACCCAAGAAACCACACACAAAATGGCCTGATGGTGCTATAGGTGGCTAAGATATGCACACATGCACACAGGGAAGTCTGTATATATTTTTTTTTTCAAAGGTCCTTTCAGAGGCTCTGTAATATATTGTGAGAAGAAACCTAAAAAGCTTATAACCTGCACAACCTGGACAATGTAAAAGTGCATGTTTGACAATCACTAAGCTAGCTGATATAAAAAAAACTTCATGTATGATACATTTATTTTCATTAAATTCATTATTTTCTTTTATAGAAAACTAAATCATCTGAAAACATTTTGTATTTTGTCATCATGTTTTCTTTTTTCCATACTTTTCCAGACCTTAAAATTACTCAAATCAAATTCCATACATTTGCAAATAGGAACTACTCAAATAAAACAAAACACAGATATTAATTTTAGTTGCGGTTTTTACATTTTTATTGATTTTTTATTTTTTGAGGAAAAAAGTTGCAGTCAGCCTTATTTCAAAACATGGTTGGTTTTACAGCAGGTCATCCCCATAACCTGTAACCAAGCAACAGACAACCAGAAGCCGACCAAAAGTTTAGGGGATCATTTACGGCTTGTTTGTTTTCGGTTGCTTCTAGTTTACTGGTGCTTCGTCAGCAGGTCATGGATAGACCTGGTGCTGTCCACTCCAGGTCCACTGGACCCCAGCCAGACATCCAGTGTTGCCAGAGAATGCACTTGAACAGGGCAGCGGACCCGAGTGCCGAATCCCTTGGCAGATTGGTCCTCCACCTCTCCTCTGAAATGACAACATTATTATTATTATTATAATATCTAAAACTTCCATCTGATCTCAGTAAAAAAAAAGACAAAATAATTTGCAGTGAAATCTACTTACAAAAAATAAACGCAAGCATGCCTTATAAGGGTTAAGGCAAAGAGATCCTTCGGCAGCGTGACGTCTCGACTCGTATGATGTCATCTGGTGGCAGCTGCAATTGAAAGGAGACGGAGAAATAACATTAATACCACTGATTATGAACTAAATCATATATATATATATATATATATATATATATATATATATATTCAAAATAAATCACAAATAATCAAGAATTTGTCTATCAACCAGGAAGTGTTTTTAAAACTGTATGTCTCAAGATATAGAAAAACTTTTTCAGTGGATTGTGATTTTATTTGACAAACAGGTTTGAGATTTTATTCATTGGATTCCTCAAGGACAACGCCCTTACTTTTTTTTGTCAGCAAAGAGGTCACAGAAAAAAGATAAACATTTAAAACATTTTGCAATTATTACTGCTGCATGTTTTAAAAAGCAAAAAATAGACATGTTCACTCACCAGACTGCACACTAGATCACAGCATACAAGTAGAGTCATTCCGCTCCATCTCAGACAACAGAGTCTGCAGGATAGAAAAGACTGATCTCTGATTTCTCTCGCTTAAATATCCTACAACATTTCCTTAATAAACTCCTCCCTCTACTTACCAGGCTCAGTTTCTTAGTAAATAAAAAAAAAAAAAAAAAAAAACTAGTGACTTGTCTTAAAGGAGAACTGCGCAAAATAAACTTTTGGTCTAATAAAACATTGGAGATTTGTTTTCATGATAATCGAATGTAAAGAGTTTTATCTCTAAAAACTCTTTAGATTATAACGCTAGTAATGGGGGCATATAATAAGTAAAAAGAAATCGCTAGTTAATACCACTACAGTGTACAGACTGTTTAATATGATTATATTTTATAAAGACAGTTCACTTTGTGTGTGTATACAGACAGGAGCCATCTTAGAAAATAGTCTCGACCAGTCGAACCACGAACACCGTTCATACAGTTGAGAAGTTAGCTGAACTTCATACATTTCAGCTCACTTGGCACGTCGTTCGTGGTTCGACTTATCGAGACATCTTCCAAAGATGGCTCCTGCCTGTATACACAAAGTGGACTTTCTTTTTAAAATATATTCTTATTAAATGGTCTGTACACTTACAAAGTTCGCAATTCTTAGTTTTGCATGTAGGGACCCTGTGTGCGGTTCCTTAATTCAACCCAAAAATACAGAGATGTTTTTTTTTTACCATATCGCCCAGCCCTACCCTGTAGTCACATGGACTAATTTAGCGATGTATTTACTACCTTTCTGGGCCTTGAAAGTGGTGATTACATTGTAGTCTATAAAACAATCAAACAACAAAACAAGGTCAGCAAAATGGGGTTGCAGATGTAGGTTTTATATATATAAATATATATGGAGTTTGCAATTTATACATTTTCGACAATGTAACTGAAGCTTTTATTACATTTAACCCAACAAAATTGACCAAACTCAAAAAATAAACAATCTCCTAGTCCTACCTGTGACGTGGACAGATGTTGCCCTGGAAAGTTCTAGAATGATCTCCAGTTCACACCCAAATCTAATAATGACTCATAAGAAACAAACACACGCTATAAGGCAATTCCTGTGGCTGTGATATCAGTTGTTTACAGCAGTGGCAATAACTTTCTGTTCCACTCCTAGTTTTGGTTACTCAGTGTGTCTCTCATTGTATGAACTAAAGATACTCGAGTTGTTTTTATGACTTTTATGTACCCTTTATGGAGAGGAATGAGCAGAGTGCATATAAGTCCTAAACCAAATTCACTAAGATTAAACATGAATATACGTCATTTAAAATGCGTTGCACAACACACGTAATGCTTCTCAAAAATAAACAAGAACACGAAAATACTTTTAAATGAGTTCATTCAAGGAAGAAATATTTACACAATACACAGACGTCAGGATCGTAGTAATTCGAAAGATTAAAGGAGTAGTTCACTTTTGCTGATAATTTACTCACCCCCATGTCATCCAAGATGTCCATGTCTTTCTTTCTTCAGTCGAGAAGAAATTAAGGCTTTTGATGAAAACATTCCAGGATTTTCTCCATATAATGGACTTCAATGGGAACCAAACGGTTAAAGGTCCAAATGAGAGTTTCAGTGCAGCGTCAAAGGGCTTTAAACGACACCAGATGATGAATAAGGGTCTTATCTAGCAAAACGATCGGCCATTTAAAAAATAAATTAAAAAAAGCTTTAAGTTTTATGAGCACAAATGCTTGCCTTGCTCTGTTCTGATGATTCAAACTCGTTCATCAAAATTAACAAATCTTTTTTCGAGTCAAAACTCGAAGGGTCCTAGATTAGACCCTTATTCATCGTCTGGTGTCGTTTAAAGCCTTTTGAAGCTGCACTGAAACTCATTTGGACCTCGAACCATTTGGTTCCCAATGAAGTCCATTATATGGAGAAAATCCTGGAATGTTTCCATCAAAAACCTTAATTTCTTTTTGACTGAAGAAAGAAAGACGTGGACATCTTAGATGACATGGGGGTGAGGAAATTATCAGCAAAAGTTTTTTTTTTAAAGTGAACTACTTAATTTCCATCTCTGCTGCAAATATATACTAATAGATGTGATCTATAAAATTAACCAAAATATAAAATATTGTAAATGGATAAAGCAAATTGCTATTTATATTAAGTTTTAGTGTTCTTTATCAATATCCTTTTCAAATATTTTAGTAACATTTTAGTATAAGTGAGTTGGATGAAGTTGTTAATTCCAGGTGCCATCTGCTGGATTGATGCATTAATGCAACTTAGATGAAATACAACTGAGAAATTGACAGATTTGTGTTGTTGAGAAAATTACTATAAACATTAAAAGACTTTTGGATCTTTATTCATAAATGATTTTGCTCCCAAATAAATGGGACACCTGAATTTAAAGAGCAAAATAGAATTATAACATCCAACACAATATGTTCACGATTTTGTTTTATTCTAAAACAATATCATACATATAATACACAAACAAATTTGTCATGATAATAATAGGGTAAAATCCGTTACACCTCAGTTCAGGAAAGCATACCATTTCAACCAGACATGGAAATCATCAATACATTAAATTTGCATTCCAGAGTCAGATTCAGTCACAAATAATGATAAGCTCCCGAGCAAAACATTTCTCTTGGCATGACAAACATAAAACACACCAATCAATTTCAACTTTAAATTATAATGAAAAGAACTTCAGAGATGTTATCATTGCATCATTGTGGCTGAAGAACATAATGTTCCCTTTGACTCCTTTGAGAGTAAAACCAATCACTCAAACATTTGCCACAAACAACAATGGATTGAGGGGAGTAAAATAACCTCATAAAAGAAAGTTTACCTTTTCATGCCATGCATGCCATGTTCTGTTGATGTGGGGACTTTCAACCAAGATTCAGAATGAAGTAAACTCATGCAGACAAGGATAATGTTCAGAAGGACCACAGGACTCCACACCACTACAGGGGATAATGTGATGTAACAAATTGTACAACATTGCATACCTATAAGGATTGACGGAACAGGCATGGCTTTGATTTGCCCAACGACTCCACATGTAAAGACCAGTTCTGAAATATTACTGACCCCACTGACTCTCCAGTGAGCTCCTTGACAGAAGTTCTCAGCTAGATGCTAAAACATGATGGTCAGATGTTAACGACACTAAAGCAAAACCAATAAACCTGCTCACTGATCAGGGACTCCAGTGTTTTTGGTTTTGCCATGAGGCCTTTCTGAAAAAATTAAAAGTCAGAGTGAAGGATGGTCCTTCAAAACATTTTTTCCTCTTGCAAAATAATAAACTAAAAGTTGTTTTTTTTTGGAATTAAAAAAAAAATAAAATAAGAAAAGAAATAGATAAACTTGCGCTACAACAATATTGTAAAAAAGGAAAGCTAAGACAGGCGCAGAGTGTTTGATGGTTTCTCCCCAGTTTCCAGTTCTGTCACACACTTAAAAATTCTAAGAGGAGTCTCTTGCCTTTCCATTGGTTCATACACCTCATCTCACCTCTAGCAGACCCACTAGTGCTTGGAGAGCTCATTGGATAACCAGTCCAGCCCTTCATAGAGTCCAGTGCCCTGTGTAGCGCAGGTCGCTTGAACGTACCACTGCAAGAAGCCCAGAGAGAGGAAATCAGCCAAAATGTAAAATAATAAAAATGAATGCAAGTAGGTTGAAGCAGCTCACTCTACTTATTCTTTTTAAATGTCATGTAAACACTTTATTCCATGCCAGCCTCAGACTAACAGACCTAAATAATGTGATAATGAGCACCAGTTTTGTCCAGCAAGATCACGACTATTCATAAGTTAGTGGTCAGTAAGGTTTTTTTTTTTTTTGGTAGAAATTACTTGGCAAGGATTAATTAAATTGATGGTAAAGATATTCATGCTACAAAAGATTACAATTTCAAATATATTTTGTTCTTTTGAACTTTCTATTCATCATAGAATCCTGAAAAAATGCAATGGTTTGCACAAAAACAGTAAGCATCACGACTGTTTCCAACATTGAAAATGCAAACCAGCATATTAGAATTATTTCTGAAGGATCATGTGACACTGAAGAGTGGAGTAATGATGCTGAAAATTTGCCTTCACAGGCATAAATATGTAAAAAAAAAATAAATAAAAAAATGTGTATATGTATATATGATGCGATCTAGGAAAACCCGTCGCATGTCGCGCTGGTACGTTTTTAGGTAAGGACTAAAAACAGATCGAATGTCAGGTTTTTTCGTTTTTTGTTTTGTTTTTTGTTTTTTGTCAAAATTGGGTTTCCAATAAATTATTATTCTATAACATCTTGTTTATCATTTCTGAATATATCTTGGGAAAATTCACTAGTTTAGTGCAGAAAAATAGCGATTTCTACTGGCAAGCTGAAAACTGTCTCTTTAAGAACACGCACGGCAGAGCGGGGGTGCAAAAATCAACAAATCAACAAATCAATCCTGTGTAAACTACAACGGCACGCAAGTTTTTATTTATTTGCTTTTATCCAGTGTTATCGTGTGTTGTGATACGAAGCACAAGAGAACAACAAAGTCTGAAGCTGCTCGTTTAAAAGACCTTGCTCGCCTCTCAATCGTCCAACTTCAAAACAGGATAAATTTTGAGTTTGTAAGCTTTCGAATGATACCTAATCTATGATGATTACTAAAACATGTGATATGAAAAAAAAGGCAACAGAAAATGAGCACTGGTCGTCCCGCTAGCAGGACGTGACAGTTAATTAAACCAGTTTTTCTCAAAATCCCGTTTCGGAAAATCATAGCGATCAGCCGACTTCAGATAACCATAACATTTGTTCCAGATAAACGATAAAATAAATAAAAACAGATTTAGAAAGGGCTTGAACTCAGCTTGGTCTCAAAACCTGTAATTTGTCAAATTTCACCATGTGGTGGGTTTTCCCAGATATATATATATATATAAATTGTATTTGTATTTGACAATATTACCTTTTTACTGTAAAATAAATGCAGCCTTGGTGAGCATAAGAGACTTTAAAAAACATTTTAAAAATCTTACTGACCCCAAACCTTTGAGCGTTAGTG